CTTCAGAAACAGCGTGGTCGTCCTCAAGCAGGAAAGGGACGTCCTTGACCTGCTTCTTGTAGACTGGCCTCAATCAGGGAACCCGAAGAGAAAGATCCAGACACCCAAACCTCGGAAACACTAGTCTTTATGTAGAGCTCAGCTGGGAGTGGCGAGGGTGTCAGGTGCCCGTCTCCACCTCCACTACTCCTGCCCAGGTGCCAAAGCCCATGTCCTTATGGATGAGTACCAGGCCAGCGCCGGGGCCTGGCTCTTCAGGCACCACAAAGCACTTATCCTGGCTCTCGGCAATGGTGACCTCGAAGACGTCCTGGGCTGGGGAGCCATCCTGTCCACTGCGAGTGTCCAGCAGCTCTGGCTCAGTCTGCAGGAGCACCACAGTGGGCTCAGAAGCAGCAGGTGGCACACAGGGTGGGCTGGAGGGTGCCCCGGGCTGGTGACTGAGCTGGTGCCGCTTGAGGCTTTGGGGGAGGGTGTAGCCCATGCCACAGGTGGGGCAGCGGTAGGGCTTGTCGGCCAGGTGGGACTTGAGGTGGCGCCTCAGCTTGGTAGCCAGCGTGTAAGCACGGCCACACTGGGGGCACGGGAAGGGCCTCTCCCCTGAATGCAGGCGCTCGTGAGCCCGCAGCGTGTGCGGGTCTCGGAGGGCCTTCCCGCACACGGGGCACAGGTGGGCCTCCCCGGTGTGGGAGATGAGGTGGCGCCGCAGTTCAGGCAGCTGGGGGAAGGCATCGGCACAGTGCGGGCAGCGGTAAGGGCGCTCCCCAGTGTGCAGCCGCAAGTGCCCGCGCAGGTTGCCCCGCTGGCGGAACGCCCGGCCGCAGTGTGGGCACAGGAAGGGCTTCTCCCCTGTGTGGAGCCGCATGTGGTTCCGTAGGGAGCCCTGGTTGGCCAGGGGCCGCCCACACACTGGGCACGGGCATGGGGCCGGGGCTGCCGGCACCTGGTGGGTCTTGCGATGCAGCCGCAGGGAGGGCCGGCGGGCAAAGGCCTTGCCACACTGGTCACAAGCAAAGGGCCGGGCACCTGAATGTACCACCTGGTGCTCTTTGAGGTCTCGCCGGGTGCCATAGGCCTTGTCACACTGTGGGCAGGGGAAGGGCCGCACCCCACGGTGGCCCAGAGTGTGGGCTTTGAAGCTCTCCTCTGAGCTGTAGCTCTTGCCACACTCGGTGCAAAGGAAGGGCTTGTGGCCCGTGTGCACGAACGCATGCTTCTTCAGATGGCACAGCTGCAGAAAGGCCTTGCCACACTCCCCACAGCGGTACCGTCGCCCCTGTTTTGAGGAGCTTCCTGCTGGACCAGGAGGGCTCCGCAAGCGTGCTGGGAGGCCAGAGTGCTGCTGCTCTCCAGTCTGCTGGGTGCCGGGCCCTGAGGTCTTCACTCTGGGGGGGCGCTGATCACTGGAGCTATGTAACTTCTTGACCAGGCAAGCGTGCAGCTGTGGGTCCGTGGCGGAAGATGAGGAACAGGCCTCACTGCTCTCAGGGCCCTGCTGGGGAGCAGAGCTGCTCTGAACTTCCAGACGCATCTGTGTCTGGGGTGGGTCCTCCTCGTCCACACTGCCATCCTGAGATGATGGGCCAAGTGGCTGCCTCTCCTTGGAAACCTGGTCCTGGTTTTGGGGCTTAAGTTCAGGGCTCACCATACTGTCTGCCTGGATGCTTAGGGGTGACTGGTGACCAGGATCTGTAAAGCAAGAGTGGGGCACATAGAGAATGTAGCAGGTGGCCACAGTGGTCTCACCAGGAAATTATGGGAACATGTGTCTTCTCCTCTTCAGACCCTGAGCTGCAGTGGGAGCAATGACAGCAATCTCTTCCCTAGAACTTGAGCCACACACTCCGTTTAGCTTCCTGTCCAGTCTCAGGTGACTTCTGGGAGGCTCTCCTGGGAACCAGAGCTCTCTAGATGTCTGGATAATCCCTCAGATGAGACCTTCCCAGAGTGCCCTTGTTCTCCCTTTGGAGACATGCACTTAGGATGAGTTAGGACCACCACCTCCTCACTTCAGCTCATCTGAAAATAAAGGAACCCCACCCCCAGCCCAGACAGAACACAAGAAATTGGAAACCTTATACACAGCCTGCTGTCTTCATCAGCATGACCTTACTATTCCAGGAAACTTAACTCAGGAAGATAAAAAATCGTATATACCTATACAGTTGACCCTTGAACAACACACGTTTGAACTCTACAGGTCCACTTACAGATATTTTTCAACAGTAATTACCACAGCCCTACACAATCATGGTCCGCTGAATCCACAGATGCAGAATCACGAATGTGGAAACATGGATGTGGAGGGTCGATGGTAAGTTATACCTGGATTTTTCTGACTGCTGGAAGGGTCAGTGCCCCTAACCCCTGTTTGTTCAAAAGTCAACTACATTGTTCACTCTAAGGAAAAGACCCATCATTCTTCAATAAAAAGCATCAAATAACAGTTTACACCCCCAAATTCTGTAAACATCTTACTTGAAAATTTGGATCTTGCTGAGTCGACGAATCCTAAACCATTATGTCATGATCCTTACCCAATCCTAATCAAGCCCTGCCACCATCCCACATGGAAAAATCTACCCTATACCAGACTTCAAAATGTCACTAAATATCCAGGCTTTGCCCTTTCCCTCAGAAAAGCTACTGTTCTCCCTTATCTTCTTGAGCCACAAGCTCTGCTTTCTCTTATCAATAGGTTATTTTGGTGATAATTTGGGAAGCCGGCATTTATTTGACACACACCTGTGCGAGATTCTGTTGCATCCTCCCCAGGGAAGGCCACTTCCTGTTGTACAGAACACTCCACTTCTGTCACAGCCATGGCTGCCTCTTCCTCCAGCCTGGGCTGGGTGAGGCTTGGGCCCTCAGAGGGAGGCCGGGGCCACAGCAGCAGCTCAAAACCTGGCGGCACAACTCGGTACACCTGCAGGTGGAGCCTCTCGCTGATCCACACCGGGGCCACGTTCCCCTCACCCTCCAGCTTGGCTCTCTGCACCAAACTGCAAAGCAGAGCAAGAGCTGGCTCAGGAGACCCTCTTCAAGTGGTCCTCCCTGAAAACCCCAGCTCCTGGGCAGTCTGGGTTCTTTAGGACCCCATGCCTTAGGAACACTCAATGCAGAAGATCCGTGGGTGAGGAATTATAGTCAGCTTCTGGTTCCATCCCATGTCATAACAGAAAGCCTCAAAGGAGCATCTTCACTACACACTCTCCTGTAACTTACCTGGTCCAGCCTGAACTCTGCTCACAAGCACACACGTCTCCCCACAGGCCTAGTGACACGTCCTGAAATAAACCAATAAAAGTCCTTCTCCCATGTGTTTGAGAGGCCCAAGGTGAAACAAACAAACAAAAAACCTGATGTAACTTCTCCTGAGACAGATCTAAGATGAAGACTCTGGAAGGTTAATGGTTTCTGGATCTGCCTCTACAGGACTGTTCTGAGTTTTCATTCAGTAAAGGCTGAAAAAACTGTCCCTTCACTTCCCTCCCAAGGTGTGGAGAATTACTAAACTGAACATATTACTGCCTTCCAGTGAATACCAAACAGAAAAAGTAGTAAGATGTACAGCAACTTTGAAATTTTTTTGAGGACTTATGCAATGAAATCCTTTACCTGTGCCGTTTCATTTTTTGCTCCAAATAATCCTGGAGGATTAAAATAAAGGAAATAGCCATTTCTTTATTTTATATATTTGTTAAGTGAGGCATACCATCTAACTAGCTTTGTGACAAAAGTGGGGTTTGATCCCATGGCTTTTTAATTCCCACAACCTTTGCTCTTGACTTTCTATTGCTGATACTCTACTAATCCAGTTTTTAACAACTTTTTGCACCTCCTTAACTACTGCAAGTGAGGAAAAGAGACCGTACTGGAGAGAAAAGGCAAAACTATCTCCTATCTCTGGGAATACTCTGCATCTTCTAACAAACTGGAGCGCTGTCCAGAAATGTCTGAACCTCTTCCAAATTTTCAGTTATGGAGAGGAGACATCCTCTCCCTCAATACCTCCTCCTGTTTCGTTTTCACTCCATCGCCCTTCTGCCCCGAGGCATACTCTTCTTCCAGTGGCCCCCAGAGCAGTCCCGGCTGCAAGGATTCCCCGACACACCAGATCCCAAAGCACCGCTCCACGGCGAGTGAGGGGCCAAGGGCCAAGCCCCGGGGGAGGCTCTTTAGACTGAGGATGGCTCGGGTCGTCCCAGGAGGTAAGTCTTTGAGTCCCTGTGCACAACCTTCTCCGGAAGGGCTCCATCCTGAGACCCGGCCGAGGAGCGGATCGGGGGCTGCAGGTAGAGAGGAAGACACTGAGGAAACGGCTCAATAGGTCGTGGGGTGGGGAAAGGTGAGGGAGAAAACCCCAGGTTCAGCCAAGCCTCAGGAGTCTGAGGTATCTGTAAGGGTTCTAAGGGGGCCCCGGAAAGGTGTGATGGAGTTCAAGGACACTTTAAAAGCCCCCAGAGACGCTGAGGGCACCGGAGAAGGATGCCGGGCTCAGGGGGAAAAGGGTCGGGGGAGGGAAGAGTGGGCCAGAGAACTTTAGGTGTATTAGGCCAGGGCCGAGAATCGGAGACAGCACAGGTCACTCACTGAACTGCAGTCTCTCCCTCTCCAAGAGCAGCTCCTCCGCCTCTTCCATCCCGGGTCAGACAGCCTTCCTCTGCCGGAAGTGAGCGTTGCCGCCTTAGCTCCCCCCGGAAACAGTAATTGACTTCCAAATTCCCACTCGGGAAAGAATCGTAAGAGTCACACCTCATTGGTGCACAGGACCGGGAGTTAGGAAGTACTGGTTAGGCAAATCTCTGTCTGAGAACAATACGAGATTAGGATTCCGGAGGTCCACCATGGATTCGAGTATCCGGGAAAGCGGAACTAATTGTTACAGTGGCCTCTCTTTTTTTGTTGGGGGGACAAGTCGGACGGTTATACTGTGCCTCCTGCAGGAGGGCAATAGGCGGGCACGTACAGGAAGTGGGTGGGGCTCCTGGAAAGGCCATGTTTGGAACGGGCAGCGGGTCGGAAGTGGGTTGGAGGTTTGGCGGAAGTCGTTGGGGTATGAAGAGACAGGGAGGGGGCGGTTCCCGTTCGAGCGCGGAGCCGGATGTTTGCCGATTTTTGACAGGCGTGGCAGAGGGAGCGGTACCCGACCACGGTGAGCCGCCAGGCGCGAGGTCTCCATGGGAGGTGGGGGTCGGGGGAGGGAAGAAACTGGCCAGATCATCTGAAGGGTTGGGGTTCGGATGGGGAGGATCCGAGCGGACCCGAGGAAGGGAGCAGGGGTGGAACGGGGCCTGAGAACCTGGACTTCCCGCTACGGGGATTCTGCTGCACTCTCGGGTCTGCAGTGAGAGGAGTTTGCTTCCTTGCTCCCTTCTTCCTGGCTCTTCGCTCGCTGTCGTCCAGCAAACTCATGGGAAGGGGTAATCTCCCAGGTCCAATCTAGGGAAGCGCTAAGAACAAAAATTTGAGAGAAATGTTTGCCCTTGCCACTTTCAAAATTTATTTCTTAATCTGTGAAATGAGATAATTTTTATCTCATTTTTTTGTAAACCATAAGCTCTATGCAAACGTGATTGTAGTTGAAAGTTTTGCTGTTGGGTTGTGGGATTTGCATTTTCACAATTCTGGAGCCCCAACTAGGAGGGTGATCCCAATGCCAGAGAAAAGGATTTCAAGTTGTTATTTTAGTTCTCCGCTGAGGAGATTAGGGAAGAGGCTTACTTTGCCCTTTTGTATAACTTTGAGAATCCCATGAATGACAAGCACTTAGAGAAGTACTCAGGGACTGACCTGCCCAAAGAGAACACTTGAGACATGCAGGGATTAAAATCTTGACTTTACTGTATGACTCTAAGCAATTTGCTTATTTTTTCTGTTCCTTGAGTTTCTCAAACTGTAAAATGGGTTTAGTAGTACATACCTCATTCGTACTGTTGTGAAAAGATAATTTGTATCCAGTTCATGGCGGTTAGTTCCCTTTTCCTCTTAGGATATGAATTGATTCCTTCAGTCATTCAGCAAATGACTGAGCATCTACTCTGGACCCAGATATAATTTTGAGGAGGTCAGGGGTTCTTAAACAGGGATTCTAAGAGGGCCTGTGAACCCCTTAAAATTTCATGCATGTGCTGATTTTTCTTAGAGAAAAAGTCCATAAATTTCACCAGAATTTTAGAGAGTTCCAGGACTGCCCAAAGTGTTAAAACCTCTGCCTAAAGTGATTTGTGAAGACTTTATAAAAGGTAGACATTTTACTTACTAAGAAGAGAAAAATTAATCTGAGACTAAGGAATATTTTGCAGAGTGCAGCACAACTTGTAAGTGACAGGAATTTTAGGCAGCCAAGATATTTCATTTTTAGTACCTTATGTTAGAATTTCCCTGAACTGGCTCCCCCCCACCACACACATAAATGGTAGCTAAGCTTCTGGGTTCACAGGGGACAACAGCTGTGGGTAGAAGAGTCATAAAGGATGCCAGGTTGGCTGGGAGGTGAAAACAACTGTGATTACTTATGTTGAAAAAGGAGGTTATGGAGTGGGGGAGGGGTTACTGGAAGAGGTGGAGTTCAAGTTCGTCTCCCTTTGAGAGTGCCTCTCTCCCTCCCTCACACATACTTCAGCTCCCAGCTGTTCCTTCTAACACTGCCTGCCGTTCATTTTAGCACAAGTATTTTAGAATGCTGAGAATTATATTTCTGGGAGGAGTCTTCACTTCTGTAGCTGAGGAAATTTAGGCCTAGATAGGAAAAGGACTTGCCTGGCATCTTTGCAACTCAGTCAGGACCATAATCCAGGTCTCCTTAAAGCTCATCTTGTGCCTTTCTCATTGCATCAAGCACCCACTGTGTGCAGAAAGACTTCTCTGGAATAGCTGTGGGCAGGGCTGAAGGAGCACTTGGTGCCTGGGCAGTAACCGAACAGAAGGGATGGAGAAAAGGCTCAGGCCTGGAGAGGGTTACTTTGAGCTGAATTCTGTCCCTAGTAACCGGCTGGGGACCCCTTTGGACATGCCCTCACAGCCTCCTGGGTCAATGTAGGGAGGAGTTTATAGATGAATCAGGTGTGGACTCCTCAAGACAGAGGGTTGCTTTTGTTGGAGGGTTGAAGCAGAATGGGGAGCTGGGGTGACAGTACAGCAGCGCTCACTGAGAGAAAGGCACTCCCAGTAGGGGAGGGAACTCTGTGTTTGCAGGAAGGGACTTGTATTTTGGTGGTAAGCAGTGAATAAGAGTAGCAGATAAGGCCAGGGGAGAGGAAGAGGGAACAAAAGAAGGATTTTTGTTGTTGTTCATTCGGTTGGGTTTTTTGGCTGTTTGGCTGCTCAGTTTTGGCTCAGGAGCTTGAAACAGCTTTTGCCACTGAATCAGTGTGGTTGCCTTGGTAACAGGGTAGTTGTTGCTAGGTTGTTGCTATGTAAATAGGGAGCTGCTGCCCTGCTGCCGCTGGTTTGCCATCCAGTCTTTAGCAGGCTGTGACGTGTGCAGGAGGTTGTCACATCGCTTAGAGGTGTTCAGGGTCTGGATCTTGGCCCACAGTTCTCCCCTCTTCTCCCTACCCATGCCTGGGTCTTGTCTGTACTCCTTATCTGCCCTGAGATTCTCTGACCATATATGTCATTTTTGGGGCTCCAGGAATGCAGTGGACTTCCCATGGCCTCTTCTCTGGGGTTGGACGAGTGGGTTGAATTGAAACTCACCTCCCTCACACTGTACGGTGAGATTGTGAAGGGAGAGGGGTTGGCTTCTTGTTAGGGCTGAGGGCAAAAGATGCCTCCTCCAGGCTGCACGCAGTCACATCCTCAAGGTCAGACCCCCGACCTGGGCAACCACTTTCAGAGTTGGCTCTTCTCCCTCCTGCCTGCTGCAGCTGCTCTCCTATTTTCCACCTCCTGCATCCCCACACTCTGGGTGTTGTGGGCTTCCTCCTTTCCCAGCTATGCCCCCCAATTCTTAGGGAAGTCTGTTGACTTTTCCCACCTTGAAATTAGTGTCAGGAGCTCCCCACAGAATAGAGTGGGCTTGGGAGCCCGCAGGAGCCTGCAGATTGTCTGCAGGGACTGGCAGGCAGAATCCATGTCCTGCTCCTCGTTCCTATCTTGGGGCAAACCCAGCTGGGCCCCTCAGCTCTGGCCTTTTTTCTGAGATGTTGTGGTCTCTGGCCACCTCCTCTTCCCTGAGCCAGGAGCTAGAGATGGAGTAACCGGGGCCTCTGCTGACCTTCTTCAGGCATGGGGTTTGGAGCAGCCCTGTGCTCCTTAGATTCTTGCAGCATCTCTACCCCACAACTGGGTCTGGGAAGCTTCTGTGCTCTCTGACCCCCAGGGCGAAGGGCGTGACCCTCTGCCCCGTGCAGCTGGGACTACATGACAGAACCAGCTGGGCAGTGGGCAGTGCGGGGCCTGGCACAGCTCTTCCCCCTCCAGCTGGAGGACCTGAAGGCAGGCACTGAGCTGTGCCATCCTTTGCCCCAGCTGCCTCTTCTGGAAACATGCCAGAAAATTGTGAGCCAGGAAAACCAGGAGCTACATGGAGCTCTTGGCAAGGATGAGGAATGTTGAGGAACAGGGACAGGGGAGCTCAGGGGAGGGAGGAGTCGGGGCAGGAGGGCTTGCTTTAGAGGTTATAGGTCAAAAGAGCGCGTCCCTGACATGCCCGCTGGCTCCCATGTCCCCAGGGTTCTCTTCAGGTTCTGTGGTGTGAAGCTGTGGGGGACAGGCTGGGCCATGGACCCACTCTCAGAGCTGCAGGACGACCTGACCTTGGATGACACCAGCCAGGCTCTGAACCAGCTGAAGCTAGCCTCCATTGATGAGAAGAACTGGCCCTCAGACGAAATGCCCGACTTTCCCAAGTCAGGTGGGCACAGCTGGATCTCAGCAGCCATGGGCACCTTACAGGGGAGACCCCCTTCCTGAGGAAGGAAGACCCCAGGAGGGCAGGATGGGAGCAGGCTGACCAGCCCCAGGGTGGGGCTGAGAGCACAAGCCTTACTGGGGGAAGGGCCAAAGGGCACAAATCTCAGGGAGAATATCGTGCCAGCCCCTCAGATTATCCACTGGTGTTGCTATATTTCTCAGATGACTCCAAAAGCAGCTCCCCAGAACCTGTCACACACCTGAAGTGGGATGACCCTTACTACGACATCGCCCGGCACCAGATTGTGGAGGTGGCAGGTGAGTACATCCAGCACTGCAGCTTTTTCCTCACAGTCTGCCCTCCTGGCTTAAGGAAGTCAGCTCCTCCTGCCTCAGGGGAAGGGGCTGCAGGGGAGGGGCGGGTCTGACTCCTGACCCTGGGGCTCTTGAGGCTCCACGTTCTTTAGAAACACAGGCTTGATTATGATGGCCACTTGGCCTAGTTCACTTTCAACCACATCCCGACCTGTGACCTTGTCGTCTCCGTTGGCAGATGGTATGCGGGAGGCTCTGTGAAAGCCCTGGGTTTGATTTCCAGCTCTGCTCTCTGGGCTCATTTCTTCCTCACAGTGTTGCTGTAAAGATGACAGTAATGAACGTAAGTCAAGGCCTAGCCCAGAACCAGAACACAGTTGACTCTAAATAAGTGTTCATCCATCTCCCTTCCCTTTGCCCTCAGGTCAGCTTTTCTACCCCATCAGGGAGGTACCAGTCCCTCCTGGGAAACCTGATATCCAAGGAAGTCTGGAATGGCAGAGCTTCTTTCTAGAAGTTAGGGGCCACATGACCCCTGGAGCATCAGGTTCCTGGCAGTGAGACTACCCTGCTAAGAATGGGTGTGGCGCCCCCCTTGGGTCTCAGCCCCAGTGAGCCACACCCTCCTCTTCATGCTGTAGGACCCAGAAGACTCCAGGAACAGGGGAGGTAGCGGAGATGTTGGTTACTGCCCTTAGGGTCCTCCTGCTAGAAGAGGAAACTGGAATTGTAGGATCCTTTGTCTTTTCCCTAATGGTTTTCTGTCCTAAGTGGTGAGGCCAGGTGGCTGTAAGCAAGGATGACAGCATGGCCCTGCTCTGAGGCACTGGGGTGGGCAGGGGGAGCCAGGCAGCAGGTGGCCTCTGGAGCCCTGTGTGGCACAGGCTGAGGGGGTCCTGGAAGCAGTAGGGAGCCCTGGCTCTCCTAAATGCTGAGCTCTGGGAGGGAGTGGGCAGGTGAGAGGTTGTCCCTAGTGTCAAAGGTGTTTGTTTCTTTGGCATCTGTGTTCCTAGTGCCTGCCCTAGTCTGGGTTGGAGGACTTGGTTATGGCCTGTCTCGCCCCTACAGAGCAAGGCTGAGTTCTTTTTTGGCCTGGTCCTGCCCTGAGGACAGGAGAATTACCTGAAGGTTCAGAACTTTCCTCACTCCCAGAGATGGACCTGACTGGGATGTGGGGGTGTCTAATGTGAAGGACTCTCTATCCTGACATCCTCCTGGCTTATATGGCCAAGTCACAGGCGGAGCAGGGGAGACTGCCCCTGCCCCCACCAGGTGACCCCTGCAAGTAGAGCTGCAACATGTTTCTGTTTCTCCAGGATGTGATGAGCCTGAGGGGGCCCAGCCAGGTAGGTGTGTTCCTGGCTCTCTGTGCTTGGCCTCTCTGGGGATTGGATCAGGAAGGGCTCTCGGTGGAGGCCAGGTGGGGCCAGCTTAATTGCAGCCCCACTCTGGGGAGCTGGGAGCTGGCGGTACTTGGGAGCTGGAAATAATAAAGGATTTATGGGAGGTTTGACAGGGTTGGGGCTGTGCAGGGACACATCCAGAGCCAGGAGGGAAGGAACTCCAGGGGAAGAAGAGCTTTGCCCATGAGGGGCGTGGGGCTGGCAGTGAGCAATGGCCTGGCCTGAGTGCTGGCTCAGGGCCTCTCTGGTGGGGGTGTCCCCCATGTGTGTGCCTCTCTGACTGCCAAGAAGAGTTTAGATTGGCACTGCTAGAGCAAGAGTCACTTGGTGCGACTATGATGACGTCCTGGGAGGCCAGTTTCCTGGCATCAGAAACCAGAGAAAAAGCCCACGCTGGAAGGGAGGACGGAGTATGTCCCCAACTCCTCTGCTGCCTTGCTTCTGCCTGCTAGCAGTGGCTGTCATGCTCCACGGTCTTTCCAGTGGTGTGTGTGCTGGTAATTGTTTAATAGTTAGCCCTCCTGAAAGGAAAAAAAAGAAAAGGCTATTATTTGTATTTTCTGTAGCATTTGCAATTTCTAACTACTGACAGCAGATTTCAAGCTACCAATGATGATGTCACCTGGCTTGCAATATTCCTGCAATCTTTAACATTTTAACAAATGTGTGAGCTTCAGCACATTGCCCCAGCTCCCACCTCCCCTCTCCTTGGTTGGCCTGTTCTGCAGGTTGTGGTAGGGTGCTGGTCTGGCGGGTCCCAGAATGCCTGCTGGAGGAGCTGCGCTGCTGCTGAAAACCCAGTCCGTCCCCTCCTTCCCACCCCGGAAAGGTCCTGATTGGTATCTGGGGAATGCTGAGACTTCATTCTTAGGCAGCTGGGCTTTTCCTGGTGCTTCCCACAAACGCTTTGCCTCCGCATTGAGCCCTCTCCCTCAGGCTTCAGGAGACATGGTGCTGCTAGATCCTTCTCTCCCTTCAGTCTCCAGGACAGAAGTCTGTTCTCTTCTGAGATCAGGATGGGAGTCCCAGGCCTTTTGACAGATGCCTCTTGTTTGAAGCAATCACCCTGCCTGCTGGCAAATGCCCTAGCCAGTAATGGGACTCCACTCAGGGAGGAGAGGACAGGGGCGAGGCCCTGGGGTGGCTCATATCTCGTTCCTTGCTTGTCTAGGAGTCTTGCCATCCAGCCCCTCCCTGATCCCCATGTGGCCCCCTATCCTCATCCTGACTTCACTCAGCATACATTTATAAAACACTTACTCTAAAACAAGCCCAGTAGTCAGCATTGAGGATTTGTTGAGAAAAAAATGCACATTGCCTCCTTCAAGGAATATACAGCCCAGTGAAATGGTTCTTGAGGCTGGTCAGAAGGCTGTGAAGGGTATGGACCTCTTCCCCAGAAAACACTTGCATGTGCTTGTAACTTTTTCATATAACATCATAGCGTTAGTGGATGCCCATTGTGGGAACCCTGGTTGAGAACCCAGTTTCCGAATTACAGGCAACTGAGTGATGGAACCACGGGCCCCTGGCCCCTCACCCCAGTTGTTGGCTTGATCAGTTACCAGCTCTTTAAATCCCAGAGCCCTGTGAGTTCAGACTTTCTGCCCTGCCTAAGTCCTCAAATCTGCCAGCCAGTGAGGACTGCCCTACTGTTGGAGGACAGGGATAAAGATAATTTTTTTGGAATCCCCTGGCCCCTCTTGGCATTTTCCCTTACATCCTGGGCATTTCCTCCACTTAGTGGGGAGTCAGCAGATCACGTCCCTCCCCTCACAGGCTCATGGTAGAAGGCCCGGGGGTTCTGAAGCTCCAGATTGTACACAAGGCTGGGCTGGCGGGTCTAACCTTCATCCCTGCTCCCTTCCAGTCTGCTCTGTCCAAGCCTGTGGGAAGTGACTAACAGTAGGTTGCAGAGCCATCCCTTGCTGGCCTGGAAGGGACCCAGCACCTCAGGATCCAGGCCATATTTTGAAAGACAGCAGGTGGCACCTGGTCCTTTAAAATAAACCTGCTGCTGGATGGAGCTGCGCTGTCGCCTCCTCAGACACACTTGCAGAGGGTTTTTGGCTTAAGTCGAGAAATTCCACCCCAGGCTTTGGGAAATTGTCTAAAGCAGTCTCATAACCTAGATATCACTGTGAGCAAACTCAGAAATAGAACGATGCATACTGTGTAATGCTGACCTGTGACTCTGTACAACATTTATTGAATACCTGCCACATGCTGGGCTCTGGACCAGAACTAGACATTCAAAAATGGATGAGACATAGGTCCTGTCTTCAGGCTACTCACAGCCACTAGAAGAGACAGGCACATACACAGTTATACAAGAGAGTCAGATTGTCACGACAGAGATACAAGATGGTTCATGCTGGGAGCCATGAAAAGGGACAGCTAACCTGCCTGGGGGAGGGAGGAGAGGACACAGGCTTCTGGGAGATCATGCCTGGGATGAGTCTGAAGGATGCAAGAGTTAGCCTAGAGGAGGGAAGCAGAATTGTTCTGAAGAGCAAGTTCTGTCTGGCAAGAGAGACAGAGGCCAACGCTGCCCGATGCTGACTGGGCTGCAGGCACTTCTGTGCTGGGAGGGTGCTCGTGTGAGCCAGTCGGGGTCAGGGGTAGAGGGCAAGCCTGGAGGGACCTGTGAGCCATTCTCAGGGACTTTTCCACAGCTGGGGTAGGGTTCAGAAGGAAAAGAGGAGTCAAGGCAGGAGAGTTGGGGGCAGGTAGACATTTTCAATTCTCCAAGGCTAGAAGTTGGGGTAGTTTAAAAAGGAGAACAGGTCCTCCCTAGGGCTTGGTGGGTCAGGCCTCAAACCCTGACCCAGGAAACTCTTGGAAGGTCCTGGCTAGGACCTTTCAGGGCCAACAGAGGCTAGGTAGTGAGTGGAGATGGGACAGTTGAAGGGGCTGATCCACAGGCTGGACATGGTAGTCAGACTGTTGGGAGTGAGGCACTAAATCAGGCCAAAGCACTGGGCTGGGCCCCCAGCAGGCACTGGGGCCATGCTGCCTACATTCCAGAAGCCTTCCTCAGCCCCTCCATGGAATCTTGCCCTAGCCCTAAAGGGTCAGAGCCTTGGCAACCACTTTGGAAAAGCACTGAGTCCTGGGTTAAGTCATTGACCAAGAAGGATCATCAAGATCATAGTTTATTAAACATAGAGATGACAGCAGGCATGAGGGAGGGTCCTTCATCCTCCGAGGCAGGAGGACAGACTGTGCAGGCTGTGTAAGTGGTCTTTTCATTTGCCTCTGAAGCAATGGGGATTAGGCCAGTGTGGTCTGGTGACTCTGGAGAGGCACGCGGGTAAAGATGAAGGGACAGGCCCTGGGACGTGAGGGCATGGGGACCAGGCCTTGTCCCCATCAAGCTTTGCTTGGGGTCCCTAGTCCACACTGACCCTGGAAGAGCATCTCACCTTGGGAGGCAGTAGTGTATATCTCAGGAGCTCCCGGCTTCATGACAAAGCCAGATGATCAGACCATGAAACAGTGACTAGTTTTGGACAGACATCCCTCTGTGATTACACTCAAGTATGCACTTTCCCAAAGCAAGACAAACTCTGAACTCCTTGTTCTTTAGAATATCCTTAACGAGAAAGGATATGATTTTTAAAAATGTCCAGAGGCCAATCAACTGTGGGAAATAATTCTGGCAATAAAATCAGAAAGTGTTGTTAGTAGTCAAAATTGAGACATGACTGTTAAGTAATCAGACTGATTTCCTCAGTAGCCTCAGGTTTTCTGAGAAGGTAGCTTCACGAAGTTTTTCAAATACATGCTGCTCAGAGAGGCTACTTCTGGAATAAGTGTGGAGTTTTAAGATGATGTTTAGCAAGATAACAATTGCTTTGGTGGGTGTGACTTTTGGTTGTTGTTGTAGTTTTAGTTAAGGTGAAATTTACATAACCTAAAATTAACCATGTCAAACTGTACAATTAGGCACATGAAAAAATGCTCAGTATTGCTAACTATTACAGAAATGCAAATCAAAACTTCAGTGAAATATCACCTCACACCAGTCAGAATGGCTATCATTAAAAAGTCCATAAACTTTGACACAACATTGTAAACTGACTATACTTCAATAAAAATATATTTTAAAAAAAAAGTCCATAAACAACAAATGCTGGAGAGGGTGTGGAGAAAAGGGAACCTTCCTACTCTGTTGGTGGGGATGTAGTTTGGTGCAGCCGTTATGGAAAACAGTCTGCAGATTCCTTTAAAAAACTAAAAATAGACTTACCATATGATCCAGCAATCCCACTCCTGGGCATGTATCCGGATGAGACTCTAATTCAAAAAAGATACATGCACCCCCAATGTTCATAGCAGCACTATTTACAATAGCCAAGACATGGAAGCAACTTAAATGTCCATTAACAGATGATTAGATAAAGAAGTTGTGGTGTATTTATACAGTGGAATACTACTCGGCCATAAAAAATGCCATTTGCAGCAACATGGATACATCTGGAGATTGTCATTCAAAGTGAAGTAAGCCAGAAAGAGAAAGAATACCATATGATACCATTTATATGTGGAATCTTAAGAAGTGAGACAAGTGACCATGTTTGCAAAACAGAAACAGACTCACACACATAGAAAACAAACTTATGGTTACCAGAGAGGGGTGGGTGGAGGGATAAACTGGGAGTTTTGAGATTTACACATACTAACTACTACTATATATAAAATAGACAAACAGCAAGGTCCTACTGTATAGCACAGGGAACTACATTCAATACCTTGTAATAGTCTATATTGAAAAAAATGAAAAGGAATATATATATATATGAATCACTATGCTGTACACCAGAAATTAATATAACATTGAAAATCGACTATACTTCAGTTAAAAAAAAGTATGTACGATTCAGTGGTATTTAGTACACTCACAGTGTTGTATAACTACCTCTATTTCCATAATTTCATCCATACCCATAGCAACCCCCATAGCCATAAGCTTCAACCCTTATTCTCCCCTCCTCCCAGCACCTACAAGTGCTAATTTGCTTCCTGTTGTTACAGACTTACCTATTCTAAGTAGCTTGTGTAAGTGGAACCATACAATATGTAGCCTTTTGTGTCCAGCTTCTTTCACTTAGTATGTTTCCAAGGTTCATTCACAACAGTAGCATGCATTAGTACTCCATTCCTTTTTATATCCAAAAAATATTCCATTGCTCGGATACACCGTATTTTCTTTATCCACCCATCCACTGATGGACATTTCGGTTGTTTTCACCAGGTGTGATTTTTTGAAAAGTTATGTTATTCTTTTACGCCCCAGCTCAGCAGCCCTGAGAGCACCTGTTCCTCTCCAGCAACACACCCTTGAGTGCAGGCAGCTGCCAGAAGGTCTGCTGCATGGGCCACTCTGGCCCCAGTGCTAACTGGCACGGATCTCCAGGCCTGGCCCCTTTCAGTTCCTCAGCCTTCTTCTCTTGGTTTATCTTCACCCACTGTGCTCCACCTTTCTTCGCACCTAGGAGATGACAAGTATGGGCGGAAGATCATTGTGTTTAGTGCCTGCCGAATGCCCCCAAGCCACCAGCTGGACCACAGCAAGCTCCTTGGGTGAGTACCCTTGGGAAAGTGGCGGGGGCCTGTGCCCAGATCCCCACTACAACCTGACATCATTTTCTTTACTGTCCCTTCTTGCCCCGGGGGTGCCGAGCCCCATCCCTCAGGGGACGCCCTCTTTTCCTGAGGGAGCCATTTTACATTAGGAGGCAAGCACTGGGCTAGGAGTCTGACCTGGTTTCTAGTCCTGGGAACTGTCTGTGTGACCTTGACAAGTGTCTTCACCTCTGTATGTCTCTTTTTCTTCGCTTTTCTTAGGGGATAATAATACAGCCCTCCTTCCTCGTGGGAATGAGATACTGCATGTGACGATGCTTTGAAAAGTAAAATACTGTCCAAATATGAGGACTGATTGCGATAACGACACAGTGCTTCCGAGGCGGTTGAGTGTTTAACATTTGTGTGAATAGTGTTATCTTATTTGTGCCAAATTTGGTGCCAGCGACCTCTGTTCCTATCAGGGTTCTGATAGCCCAAGGCATGTAATACCTTTGGTTGTTCTAGGTACCTCCTGATGCAAGTCTGAAGGCTGGCTGAGAGCAGGAGCTTGACAGACTCTGTTCTGATAAGTGTTCACTGTTGAGGCCCCACTGGGCCCACGCTGGGCCCACAGCATGTGCGGGGCCCATGGAGGCAGAGCCGTAACTGACTTCCTCCTGGGGCCCCTTAATGTGTGTACAGTTTCCATGTTGCACTCCTTTTCTGACCACTTTAAAGTGCTCCCTGTCATTGAAAACATCTGCCCTGCCCACTCCAGCTTTTTGGTTGTGTGTGTGGAGAGGGGGACAGGCCAGGGCTACAGCAGTGGAAGCTGAGGCGCCTGAGTGCAGTCTCCGCTGTGCAGTGAGCCAGGGCCCGGCCCGTCTCCCCAGCCTTAGGTGAATTCTTTCTCCCGTCTCCAAAGCCCTCCTCCCACTGCTCCTCAGCCCAGCAGGCAGGCAGAGGCTTGTCCAGGCCCATCACGTGGCCGGGCCAGGAATGGGCCAAGGAGGCCCTCCTGAGGGTTGGCCGAGTCACATGCTCTCCTCTCTGGTTGTATCACAGTGTCTGACAAAGCAGGTGACAGACTCCTGGCCAGATTATGGTCTGAGTAGGAGGAAGTCAGAGGATGGAGATGGGAAAGCACCCAGTTTCAGGAGAGAGCTTGCTGAGTGAGGCTGCCCCCATTCTGGCTTCGGCTGCCTTCAGGAAGCCCTCTGTCATCCATCCTGTCCGTCCTCCAAAAAACATTTTGTTGACGTACACGTATCCAGAAAAGTGAACAAATTATATATACTCCTTGATGAATTTTCAAAAACTAAATATACCCATGTCCTCCACACCCACATACCTCCCTTTGCTCTTCCAGCCACTGCTCCAAAGGGTAACCCTGTTCTCACATCCAGCTTCTCAGATTGGTTCTGACTGCAGAAACATCCTGTGAGGTATTCTATTTATAGATGTCCTATGATTTATTTAACCAATTCCCTGTTGTCGGACCCTTAGTTTGCTGCTCAACTTTTTTTCCCCATTATAAAACAGGCTACAGTGAAAAGCCTTTTACAGAAATGTTTCTGTTCATCTCTGATTATTTTCTTTGGATAAATTCCTGGACATATTTTTACTAGGTCAGAGTATGAACATTTTGTAGCTTCTGATAAACATCACTTTGTTGCCCTCCAAAAGGTTTCTAACATCCATCACATCAAAGGATGAGTGTATCGTCACTACAATTTTTGCTATTTTATAGTTGCAAAATGCCGATTTTTTTATATGACAGCTCCTTGCTCAATGTGTATCAGGGGTATATCACTATGTAGTGCTAATGATCGGAATCATGACAACAAGTCCTCACATGCCTGCTGGTGCTGGCCCAGCCCGGCCCCTGTGGACCAGTGTTGAGGTTACCCTCTCTGGGTTAGGTCAGGTAGTATCTGGCATTTAATCAAATCCTTGGGCATTTCCCGTGGCTCCTTTACCCTCCTTCCTCACCCCACCTTGGAAGCCCTTAGCATTCCTGCGTGTGCAGCCTCCCAGCCTGGAGTGGTGTTCCTGCTGGGCCCTGGGAGCCATTGGTGAACCAGAAAGAGGGTTTTCCACTGGACTCCTCTCCCTTTCTGGAATTTGTGTTCATTCCCTTCATACTTCTGCACCTCAGGTGGCTCTGCACCTGTATGTATGTTCGTATTGAGTGTCAGGAATTGTGTTGTGAGCATAAGGAACTTGAGGTGTGGATCTTTGATCCATAAAAACCCCCCTTGCTGGATCAGAGGACCCTCTGGCCACCCCAGCCCCCTCTCATGGACACAGTGTTTTACAGCCAGTGCTGGGAGTTTGAGTCTAAAAGGCAGAGCTGTCCCATGGTCAACAAAGCAAAATCTGGAGTTAGTTCTCCTCCAGTCTCCACCACAAGCTGTGTCACCTTAGATTGGCACTTGATGTCTCTGAGCCTCATTGCCCTCACTTATAAGAAGGGGATAATATCAGCCTCCATTATTATGAGGAAGGCATGAGATAATGTACGCAAAGTGCTTGGTAGACACTAAAAGCTGAATATTGATAAATGGTGACTATCATCATCATTATTCAGGACAATCCCGTGAGGGGAATGTTATCCCCATTTTTACTGCAGGTATGCAAGACAGCTCCAGTTAGTAACAGTCCTGGTCTGACTGAGTCAGTGCTCAAAACAGAGCTGCTGTTGTTATTCCTCCGCCCAGCCCAGCACTCCCCTGTACCTCCTGCACCGCAGTGTGGTGATGGACTGTGCAGCCGGGATACACAGTGCAGGAGCCGGGGACGGCTATCGTACAAGCAGTGGATTCCTGGAGCACCGGTTCTGTCTTAATGGGGCCCCACTTGTGTACAGAGCAGGCCCTAGCGGGGCTTTTCTCTTGAAGGTACCTGAAGCACACCCTGGACCAGTATGTGGAGAGCGACTACACGCTGATCTACCTGCACCACGGCCTGACCAGCGACAACAAGCCCTCCCTCAGCTGGCTCCGCGACGCCTACCGGGAGTTTGACCGCAAGTGGGTTGGGACCTGCAGTGGGCTCCAGGGCCTGGGGGCAGAAGCTCTGCCAGGTTCTGGGCTGCCCTCGGCTTGGCCAGGAACATATTGCTTGCCAGGAAGAGGCGGGTTCCCGGCCTGGGAAAACTAAACACAAAGAATCTCAAGTTGAAATGGCCTGGGTTGAAATCCCAGTTTCTCTACTTACTCGTTCTGTGACTTTCCATGTTACTTAACCTCTCTGAGCCTGTTTCCTAACCTGTAAAAATACGGCAACAGTAGCACTTACCTTGCAGGCTTAATCATTAGTCAAATCAGTGTCAGTAAGAGCCTAGCTCTGTGCCCCTCCTGCCACGCCCGCCCCTGAGCTCCCACTCGGCCCCTGCAGGTACAAGAAGAACATCAAGGCCCTGTACATCGTGCACCCCACCATGTTCATCAAGACCCTGCTCATCCTGTTTAAGCCCATCATTAGGTGAGTGCGCCCAGGATGGGGCACTGGGCTCCTGTTCTGCCCCTTGAACTCTAAAGCAGATACCCGAGGACACCAAGCATCCTGGAGACAGTCCAGTTTGGGGCTAGGCCTCTGATCTGGGCTGCTGAGGGGACAGTGGAGGCCTGCTGAAATGGGCCCGCCCTGGACCCATACCCTTTCTTCTGTCGGCAGCTTCAAGTTTGGGCAGAAGATCTTCTATGTGAATTATCTGAGTGAGCTGAGTGAGCACGTGAAGCTGGAGCAACTGGGGATCCCTCGCCAAGTGCTCAAGTGAGGCTGGGACGGGGGCTGTAGGTGCCCAGTGGCACATGGTACAAGAATATTGTGTTTGTTGGGGGGACATGTCGGCCAGGGGGAGAAGCAGCCTTGGGAACCCCAGGATACACAGAGGAAGTGAATGTAATGAGTTAAGAGACAGCACATGGGGTCAGAGAGAACAAGTTCAGATCCCATTTCAGTCACTGAAAAGCTATGTGACTGAATCTCTTCACTTTCTCATGTGTAAAGTGGGGTTGAGGGGAGGACTGAATGAGGTCATCCATGTAAAATAGCACAGCACGTGCTTGACACACAAGAGTTGCCATAGTGACTGCAGAGCCAGGTAGAGGGCCTGACCCTCCCCTGTGCTCCCCTAGGTATGATGACTTCCTCAAGTCCACACAGAAGAGCCCTGCGACAGCCCCCAAGCCCATGCCACCGCGGCCCCCGCTGCCCAACCAGCAGTTCGGGGTCTCCTTGCAGCAGTGAGTATGCGAAGGGTGGGCGGGGCTGGTGCATGGGGACCCGGAGGGCTGTGGATCCCGCTCACTGCCTTGTGCCCACAGCCTCCGGGAGAAGAACCCGGAGCAGGACCCCATTCCTCTCGTGCTGCGGGAGACGGTTGCCTACCTGCAGGCCCACGGTGAGTGCCGGGCTGCCCCTCGCCATCAGCTGTATCTCCCAGCTCCGCCCCCACCCCAGAAAGCTGCTAGGCAGGGCTGGACGAGGTCCCACACACTCCAGCACCCACACGGACCCTGCCTGGAACCCCGAGACAGAGAATGGGTGGGGGAGTCGGCACATGGCCCCAGAGCTCTGAGACTCACCAGGCTCACTGTTTCCCAGCTCTCACCACTGAGGGGATTTTCCGGAGGTCAGCCAACACCCAAGTCGTACGCGAAGTGCAGCACAAATACAACATGGGTGAGTGGCCCGGGGATGTGCTGAGACCCACAGGACCAGTACGGATTGTG